ACAACAACATAACAAAAACTACATAATTGAAATTTAAATTATATGGAAGTTTTTTATGACATCAAGAGGTACAATGGCTCTAAATTTCAATAAATCAGAAACACAGAGACATTATGAAGGTCCTGCTTTCTCCCTGTCTTTCCACTAGGCCAGTATGTTGGCTTTATCCTCAAGCTAGCTGACATCATGGTTGCAAGATGATTACAGCTGTTCCAAGCTTCACATGTAGATCTGACAATATGTTTCTTAACCAGTGTCTCTCTTAGGGGTGAACAGTTCTTTCTCCAAAATCCCTGAGCAGATCTCCTCCCACATCTCATTGGCTAAAGTTGCATTACATGCCCCTGTCTATATGGGACACTAGCGAGAGGTATGGGACCAAGAGGACTAGCTCAGTCCTATAACCCCTCAAAGTCCCCTGGATCTCCAAGTACTACAGAGGATGCGGGTAACCTGGTAAGTAGATTTTTGTCAGAAAGGAGGATGAGAAGGTCTAAATCTGGTTAGGCAGCCTCCAGGGGCTGAGACCGTGTCCATCCCTCATGTTTGGACATGATTTTCAAATAAGATTGCAACCTCTGTGGACCATGTTTCAAGTTTCCTATGGTTCCACATTGGGCCTACCACTTGCCTCACTCTAGCCAGATCAACAAAGCACCTGTGGATCATCTGAAGGGGCATCACTTTCATACAGAGCATCTAGATGTCTCAGGATTTGTGGTATAACGATTCTTCTTTTTAGAGAGCCATAGTTTTATGTGTTCACTTCCGTGTAATTCATTAGTCACCATAACAACTGAAAGGAAAAAGAAACCAACCAACCAACCACAAAATCCTCTACATCTTTGACTTAATGATCAGAGTGACAGCCATCCACGATTCTTTCTCTCTTATGCAGTGCTGACTCTTTCAGTAATATCTCAAGTTAAGCAGGGCGGATAGTCCAGACTAAAGCTTGTGACTTCAGTGGTAACATTTACGTGATGTCAGGATGATACTTTTGGTCTCAAATATTTTCCCCATTCTTCTTGAAATTCTTTATCTTTTGCTACACTGACTAAATGTGTTTCTTTTGCTGAATGTCTAAAATTCCATCATTAGAAGCTCATCTCTTTACATTAAGAGACCTCTCCCTTTTAATATGCCCAAGGCTATTTGCACATTAAGACAGGAGCAGTCATCACCCACTTTAGATGGAATTCATTCAAACTGACGCATTCACTGACTCTTGATGTTGAAATCTACCTGTCTTGGTGGTCATCTCACAATAAGGTGGTATAGGCAACACCAGAATTTTAATTTGTTAGGAAAAAGGAGATGCAGTGCTAATATTTAAGTGGTTACTTCCAAACCTGGCTGTACATCAGAAACATATGAATAATTGTTTTTAAATACTAAATCCTGAGCTCCAATCTGTGAATTTAAATCAAACAGTGGCTGGAGAACCAGTTATTTAAAAGATCAAAGCTTAATTAGGGTTGGGCACTGGTAGTTGGAGAGCCATGGGAGGAGGGGAGTTACTTTATCAGAGGGTGGTCAAAGGCTGTTGAGGAGCTGAAGATAAGGAGAGAGAGGGGAAATGACAGATTCCCTCCTTTGAAATTGTACATGAGGTTGTCTCTTGTAACACGGGACAATGATGAGTTGCAAAGAGATGAGAGAAAACCTATCAAGGAGGTGAAGGCTAAGAGAATAGTTTGGAAAATATCCTAACACTAAATGTGGTATGATCAGGTGCAGTCAGAATGCAGAAGGGTATATATAGGTGTATATATATATGGCTTTGGTGGGGGGAGGTGTATTATGTGTGCATAAGTGGTGTGAGTACCATGTGTAAGAGTGTACAGGAGGGAGGGGTGTAGTAGAGAAAGGACTGTACATTTAAGCTGCAGCCAGATGGCAAAGGACTTTTTCTGACATGCCAAGAAATTTGGACTTTACCCTACGTGAGATAGGGAGCCACCAAACGTTTGAAGCAAGGAGCGACTAGATACAGATAAATGTTTAGAAAGATAATATTTGTGACAATGAGGAAAGTAGACTGGAGGGATAGACACAGGAAAAGGAAAACCAGTTTAAAAACTATAGTCGTGCAGACACAAAAAAACAAGGGTCCGAACTGGGTGGTAGCACAGGTTGCATGAGTTGGGGAGAATGGACAGAACTTGGAGACTGGCTGTGAGGTTGAAAACAGGGAAGATTCCTGGTTTAGTGTTTGCATGAGAATGCTGCCATTCAACAACAGAAGGCAATTTAAGAGAAAATTTTGGAGGACAGTGTTAACTTCAGTTAAGGACATGTTGAGTTTGACGTGCTTATACGTCAATAATTCCATCTAAGTGGAAATATTGGTAGCGGATAAAAATAGGGATATGGAAGTCAGTGGAGAAGTCTGGTTGGAGATGCTGACTCGAACTGTAACTAGCAGGGTGAGAACGGGTGGGATGAAAAGGAGGCTCCAGGATGGAATTCTGCAAACACCACCAAGGACTGGGCCAAACACATGGACCTGTGAAGGAGACTAAGAAAGAACAGCTGGAAAGATAAGAGAAAAACAGAGAGAACAGAAGCCAGAGTTGGAGGGTGTTTCAGGAGGAAAGAGCTGCCAAATTACATATTAAAAGGAGGACTTGCTAACTACCAGAGAAATTAGAATAGTCACAGCCTGAGGGGAAGTGAGGGAGAGGATTTGAAAATATTCATTAAAGAGGGTGTGACTCTTGGGCAGGGTACCAGAAGTAGAGAGAGAAGAAACCTAAAACCACCCTTGGCCTGGCAACATACTAGAGAATGTTTCTCTTGCCTCTGTAGACCTATTATTTTGTTTATGGATCATCTAGGCCTGTTACGGTCTTTCTTTTCCACCCTCAACCTGCTGATTACCATTTCAGTCACTGTAGGCACTTACACAAAAGAACGATTAATGAAAGGTGATAAATACGGAACTAAACTATGAGACTGCTTTTTCTTAAATACTATAAGGAGGTTTATGGAAAGTAAATTTAAATCTAACTGTTAAAATGAGATTTGAGGATTTTAAGTTTCTTCAGCAGTTGGAATGTATGCTGGAGATGTGTAAACACACACATACATATATATCTTTAACATTTTAATTTTAAGTATGTATTTATATTACACAATTGTATGTGCATATAATTTATAAACAACAATATATGCGTGTATAGTAATATGAATCCTCAAAAATCCTATACATGTAGGGTAATGCCATACAAAATTTCAGCTCTCACTGACCTAGAAATTTCAATTATTCATGGTAATCTTGGATATCCGTGGTACCAAAGAATGATGTTGCTTCCCTAGGAACCTCGATTGATATCTCAAATGGCAAAGCTTTATTATGATCATCCTGAATTAAGAGGAAATCTGTTCTTTGAGTATGCCAGTAACTGGAGCAGGAGGAAGAAATAAGTATACAAAATATTTTTACATGTGTCATTTTAGATCACCTCTGCTTGCTCACACTGAGTTGTCCTGATGTACTAATGCCAGGTTAAAATCTTTGTATCTGACTTCATGCCTTAAAGCAACACGTTTCACTAAAGTATTTCTCATTACTGTTTAAAGAACAAGCCTCAACACTTCCAAGATAAGAAAAATGATGTTATGTTTCCATAGCTTCTGTTAATAATGGGCAATTAAAGAGAGATGAAAAGCTTGGAATTAAATGTCTATTAGCACTTGGGAAGGTTGGTATTCCAGGGCCTGGTTTTCAATATGAATCCAACTTTGCCTGAAAGCCCTAGGTTAGGGTTGATGGCCCCTCAAAATACTCTTGGGGGGCCTAGGAGAAAAGCACAAGACACAAGGTTAGACAGAAAATCCAGGGATGCCTACTCTTGATGGCGGCCAAATGGTGGGGCTATTTCTCTGTTCTCTCTGACCTGGAAAAATGCTACAGGGTCATCTGGACTAGGTTTCTTCCACCGTAAAGAATAGTGACTGGTACTAAGTGCCTCAAAACACAGTTTAGGAAATATTTATCTTCTTTGTAAAAACATTTGAAAATCAGAGACCATGTTTTTGTTTTGATGGCTGTGCAAACCACAAAATACAAATGACCCCCCCCTTCCCTGCAAATAAAGTATAATTCTTAAAGTTAGTACACATTAGGCTCGCTCTGGAGAACGTCTGGAGAAGGTACTCCAGATGCATAATGGTCATGCAGCCGCCCTGCACCCCCAGCCTCACTTTTCAACTTAGTGCGAAAGAAGTCAGGCAATCCGCGGGCCGCATGCTCACCGTACTGCAGCTGGTGATGCAGCTCGGTTACTTCTCTTGCTGTGGCTGCCAAGATCCAGAAAGTGGAAAGAACTTTTCCTGGCCAGAGTTTACATTCGTTGAACAGACGACGTTACAATAAGAGGAAGGCAGAAGGGAAGGAAGAATTCCCCCCTCTGCCAAGTATTTAAGAGGCGCTTGGTTTTTCTACGCACCCTATGGCAAGAAATATCAGTGCTGCGTCCTGAAGAAATAGAGACCTTATTCACATCCGTGGGTTGAAAAGTCAGCATCTGGGGCTCCCAGGCTCCGGTAAAGCCACCGGGCATCATGCTAGGAAGTGCAGGCTGCCGCCCAGAACTGGATTTCCAGGACCCGTAGAACCCCTTGGTTCGGGCCTGGCACGCACCTGTCCAAGCCAGGCTGCAGAACTCTCGACCTCCGGGAGTCCTAATCTCCACTCTTTCTATACATGCGTGTGCGTGCGTGTGTGCATAAAATCAAAGCTCGAACTGAGTTGACTTTGAAGGGTGCTTAACAGACAGGGTGAGACATGCCTTAATGGGGACACCAGGGGGGGGAGAGCGGGGATGGAGAGTCTCTTTGCATCGGTCTCCGAGTACCTGGGAGCCTGGGTCCACGCAGAATCAGAGCGGAGACGCGCGCTACCTGCACCCAGGTCCCGCATAACCCCTCCCTCCTGCCCTCGGAACCCGCGCAGGTCCCCCTAGGAGCCCATGCGGAGCCAACTCCTCGCTTACCTTGACTGAGCACTAACACCAGCCGCAGCGGCGCGCCCCCTCTCTGTCCTGGCCGCATCCTGAGCCTGCCCCGGGGACTGTAGCTGCTCTGGGATTGCACAGGGACCCTAGCACCAGGAGACTCTCCGGAAACTGTCTCGAAGGCTTCTCTCCCCGGCCCGGGTGAGATCCAGGAAAAGTTGCTGGGCAGCTCCCGGAGCGCCAAGGCCCGCCCCGGCCCGCCCCTCCGCCTTGGCAAACTCCACATCTGCCCCGCCCCCGCTCCCCTCCCTGAACCCCGGCCCTGCAGCCCGCGGGCTGCACCTGGGCTCCTCCACACCCCCGGAAACCGCACCCTAACTCCCCTACACGGTCTCAGCCCGGGGATCCCGGAAGCTGCGGGGATGGAGACCGCGCGCCTGGCAGACTTCCTGCCCTGGACGGGACTGGCTGGGCACATCCGACCGGCGAGAGCCGGCCTGTCACCACCCCGCCCTCTGACAGCCTAACGCCCGCCCGCTGGAAACCCCCCGGGTCCGGTTAGAACCCTGGCCCTTCTGCAGCCCTTTGCGGCTCCCGGCTCTCTGCATGGGTGAAAGGGCAGGGGGACCCGTGAGCCCTAAGCCACAGCTCTTTGGGGCTGCGCGGTGAGTGCCTTTCTCTGCCTTTTCCAAGTGGGCGGAGAAAAGGCCAAAAATAAGCGCAGAATGACCAGGTTAGAAACTAACTCATCAGGAAAGGTCTGCTCACAAGTTATGATTATCTGAGGTGATATTTAAGCCAGACCTGCAAGAGCGCCGTGTGTGTGTGTGTGTGTGTGTGTGTGTGTGTGTGTGTGTGCGCGTGTGTGTGTGTGTGCGCGTGTGTGTGTTATAAATCCTCATTTATGCCTCTCCAAGATAATAAAGAGCTGATTTGTTTACTAAGTTTAAGCGATTTACTTCAAGATGCCGAGAGAACCCATATGTGGACTGGTGACTCTCTTTGAATTACACCGTGACCATTTTTCTTCCATCATTTCAGTCTCATATCTGGAAAGAGAATATTCTATAACCATATCTGAGCTTTTTACTCACCGACCTGAGAAGAGGATATTCACTTTTCTTTAAATTTGATTTTTCCACCCACAAATTCCCAGTACATTGTTGAATTCTTCCAATGATTGCTTTTGTGAAGTAATCAAGTGTTTTAATACTTAATCTATTGTTAATTATTAGTCTAATCATTATTATTAATACCATTCCAAATCTATGTGGAACTGGTACTGTGAGCAGGATGGGATATTTAGGATACTGTCACTTGAAAGCAAAGTGTTTCAAGGTGGGAAAGACTTAACTGGTGAAAATCAAATGCTCCCTTTACCACAGTTAGGGATAGAGTCTTGAATTTTTAAAGTATTAAATTGGTTTTTATCATATGCTACTGCTTATAGTCATGATTATAAACTCATTACCTTTGAACCCAAAATGTATAGCCTCCAGTTCTTAGCTGTTTTCTTACGTGTCACTGACTAACTCTACTTACTAATCTTGACAAACACTTGAAGGCCTTTTTTTTTCTGACCTGTCTATGGTACTCACCTGCTTACTAAGATTCCAGATAACACCTGTGAGCTCTTAGGTGGCCGCTCTCTAACCCTGACACCCAACCTAGGCTCTCCTCACAGACTTCTTGTGGGAAGTCAGCCAGGTTTCAGGGAGATGAATATCTGTCTGTTTCCTTCTGACTCACAGAAATGTGAGTAAGTGTTTGGAACAAACCTTATTTGGGAGGCAGGGTAGTTCTCTTCATGAGAGACAGGAATTTGTGCTTTGTCTTTGAGTACTGGAGAGGAAAACGCACCCTTTGCTTTTGTGCTCAGAACTGGATGAATTAACATTATACTGGCATGAGGTACAGAATAAATCAGGAGTTACATTTTTCCAGAGCAGGCAAAAATTTCAAATTTCAAGAAATTAAGAGCCAACTCTTGCTTCATATTAATTTTAAGAGTGTAAAAGCAGTTTTGAGATAAAATAGTGAGAACTCTTGCCTTAAAATTCCTAGGAACTGTCTTGTCTAGGTGTACTTGTGCTGGACTCCATATTCTGAGCAGAAAATAAGGATTAAGGGAGGGCTTCTTAAAGTTTTTGGTCTCAGGAGCCCTTTACACTCTTAAAATTATTGAAGATCCCATGGATGAATGTATTAAAAAGTGTGATATATGTAATATATAATATTATTTAGCCATAAAAAAAGAAGGAAAATCCTGTCATTTATAATGACATAAATGAATCTGGAGGACATTATGCTAAGTGAAATAATCCAGATAGAGAAAGACAAGTGTTGTATAATCTTGCATGTGGAATCTAAAAAAGTCAAGCCACAGTACAGAAAATAGAATGGTGGCTACCTGGAGCTGGGGGTAGGGAAAATGAGGAGATGTTGGTCTTAGGGTACAAACTGTGAATTATAAGACAAATAGGTTCTGGGGATCTAATGTACAGCATGGTGACTATAGTTAATGATACTTCAGGTCTATTTAAAATTTGTTAAGTGTTCTCACCATACACACGCAGTAACTATGTGAGATGGTGGATATGTTAAATAGCTTGATTCTGTTAATCATTTCACATTGGATGCATACATCAAGACATAACTTTGTACATTTTAAATATATATACTTTTAATTGTCAATTATACCTCAATAAAGCTGGAAAAAATATTGAGGATCCCGAAGAACTATTTGTTTATGTGTATTATTTCTACCAATATTTATCATATAAGAATTTGAAACAGATAAATTTTCCAATATTTATGTGTTAATTCATTTTAAAATAAAAATAAGGCTATTGAATTTTAACAAGAATAACATTTTATGAAAAATAACTATATTTTCCAAAATAAAAAAGTTCATGAGAAGAATTGCATTATTTTACATTTTTGCCAATCTTCTTAATGTCTGGCTTAAAAAATAACCACTTGGATTCTCATATATGCTTCTGCATTCAATTTGTTGTAATACGTAGTTTCGATGTAATTATATGAATTAATCTGGCATCACACAGATATGTAGCTGGAAAAACAGGACATAGTTTGGATCTCTACACTTTCTTGCCGGAATCTTAAGAGTTTGTATAAAGATCTTAATGGAGTTTAGTCACATATACTTTCCAGATGGTCTCAATAACACATTACTCTCTCAAGGCTGACTCCTTGAATTAGCTCCTAGTGTGGGAATAGTGGGCAGAAGTTACATTCCAAAGACAGGAGAGAGGGAGGAGCCTCTGATTGCCTGGATCCAACTTGCCGGTTAACCAGTAGTATGTACTCTCCATGACCTCCTCCAGCATCTAGTGCATTAAAATTCATTAGCCTATTGAGCATTTTGAATAGGTCTTTTACCCATGCAAGATTTTGTCCCATCGGGCATTGGTTATTTGGAAAATAATGGTTCACTGACTTATGCAGCTCTTCCAACTGTATGACATTTCATGACATACTATCAAAAAGATCATATCACTACATATCTCATCAGAAAAGTCTTTATGTTTTGGGAAACTGTCAAGCTCATGCAGGTGGATACGCATTTTTCAAAATTCTGATTTTCATTAAAAAGCCTGAATTTTATCACTGGCAACACATATCAGTTGTTTCACTTGAAATGAAAAGCTTACTTTGTTCATTTTTGAGAAATGTCTGTCAAATACATCACAGTTCTCTGTCTGAAAAACAGAAATGATCTGCTGAAAGTCTTTCCAAATCTACAGAATAAAGTCTAAGTACCTTAATATTTAAACTCCCAACTGAACCCCAACCTGACTCTGCAGTCTCTCTTATCATTCCTCCCTTTTGTATACTACGCTTAGGCCAAATTCGCCTATTTACTGGCCTGCCTCTCCCATTCTTCTTTGCTAGTTTCTTACCTATCTTTTCTCCCTGGAATGGCTTTCTCCCTTTTCTCCATTTCTTAAAATCCTAGTTCAAAGTTGCAGTCGAATTTTATATTACTAGCCAACCTTTCCTATCCCCTTTATTCAGAACCAATTTTTCTTCTTTCTTGGCTCCTGACTCCCCTAGTTAAAAAAAATCTTTTGCATTATGGTATGACTTGAATTTAATTATATACATATAATTATATACATATACTCCACCTTTTCACTTAAATGCTGGATCTCTAAAATTTTATGTTTATATCATAAGAGTTTAGTCCTGTACCTGGCAAATAAGTTCTTTAAAAGAGTTACTAAATTGAAATGAATTTCCTACCAGTTTCATATTCTTCTCCCTACACCTAAAAAGTGTAGTGAATGTGAAACTCCATATAAGTCCTGGAAAATTTGAAATGAAGTAACTAGTGACTCCTCAAATGTTACCCAGTAAATTCATGACATGACTGATGCTCAGAATCCATCAAGCTTGACTCACCTGCAGGTCTACAGGCACTGGCTGAGTTGCATATGTCCAAAATAAAAGAGAAACTTTCAACTTAAAAACAAAGAAAACAAATAAACGGAAGTAAAATAATTCTATGTCCCCTAGCTCCCTGGACTTATTAATACACCTATGTATTTTATTCATACTTCTTTTACTCACAGACCCTAGAACAAGGCCTGACACAGTTGATGTTCGATAAATGTTTGTTGCTCTAATGAATAAACACACTTGTTCAACTAATGACTAACATCTTAATTTAGTAAAATGAACCAGAGAAGAAGTTAAGAAGTTTATTTCTCAGAACCTGGAAAAACTTAATGTAGGGGAAACATTATTCATATGTACTTCAGATTTTTTTTTTAAGAAATGTGTCATATGATGGATCAAGCTAGCTGTATGGCTCTTAGCTACTATCCTTCTCTGGAAAACTTAGATGTTTCAGCTAGAGACAGGTTATTTTTCAAGGGAAAAAAATCAGTCTTACTTAAATTAGCCTAAGTCAAAGAAGAGTTAATTGAAAGGATAAGAGGAAACTTTAGAGAACCCAAAGACATGAATTACAGCCTGGTCTCAGGGACTGGAAATGGAGACTGGAAAGACAAGAACACGGTTCACTCTGAACAACTTGTAGAAATGGCATGAGCTCTTGTCTTTGCCTTCATGTATGTACCTGTTCCATTCTCCTCTCTGTAGACTGACTTCCTCTTTAATTACTCACCATCTCCATTGCCCTATAACTTCAACTTCCATGACCTGCCTGTCATCTTGATTTTATGAGACCTAATTTTAACTCAGTACAACAGCATCTTCTTCAGTTTGACACACTCACAAGACC